CAGTGGGTAAAGGCAAAGTTTTTGCTTTTGTGTTTTAGAAAGACGTTTTGCTATGCTTTGCTTTTCAGAATATAACACATTGTGTTAATTCCAACAACTATATTTATAACACCTTACACTTCCCATGTGTCAATTTTTTGTCCTTATATATGCATGTTCTCTTTTTTTTTTTTTTTGGAGCTTTGGACCTGTTATAATTATCATTAGAACTTTGTGACTGCGGAGGTTAGACTCTCTCAGCATGACTAACTGTTTTCTCAAGACATCCTGGCTGCAGTGGTGTGACTGTGCTGACATTTGCACAGACAGGCAGATGGTGCCTGGGACATATCTGGTTGCAATGCAGACCTGAAGATCCTAGCTGAGGAAGCTGAGCCACTGTGTTTTGGCCTGATTTATAAGAAAACTGCTTCTCAGCAAATGTAGCCTGTGTAATCCTTTCTGCTAGATGTAATGGAAAAAATGGTGAGCCATAGCAAAAGAAGCCCATAGCTAAAACATATGTTTTGGCCAAAGGTCATAATGATTTATATCAGATATCTGTGTGTGTTTGTTCCATACCAACTAAAATCATTTAAACTCCTTGGGTAATACTGAAGAGGCCAAACATCCACAAGTCTGATTGACTATGGGAGGTTATAAGATATATCACAATTGATAAATTGTGCTTGAAAACCATGCAGGATGAGAACAAAAGCTGAAGTGGTGTAACTGGGAAACAGTCTTCTAGAGATGGAATCTGAATTTTGATTTCTCATTATGTGGATTAGTTCCCTCAAGAGAAAGATTTTGCATTGAGAAAGCCAGTGGATGTTGTTGGTTTCACTGAGAAACAATTCTTCAGACAGAAGGAGAGGGAGAGTAGGTATGACATGTTTTGGAGTACTCAGGACTACAAACTGATTCAGTGAAATCCAGTTGTTTCCAAATTCCAATTCTGAGAATGAATCACATAATTTTCTGCAGATAATTGGCTAATGTCCGCTAACTGCTGCAGAGAACTTTCTGTCCTACTTTGTGACTGACAGCTAAGTAATTTGAGTGGGTTTGAGCTGGGGGAGTTGTCATGGTCTGGCCTGCTGCATCTGGGTGCCAGGAGTCTTGCCATGCTCTTTGCAGATCTGCTACTGACATTCTGCTATGGAATTCTGTGTTTAACTTCCATTATTTCACTTGAATCTATTTGGGAAAAGTCAGCATTGTGACACCATTTTAGAAGTGGCTTTTCAGGCGTACAGCTAATGCAGTAAAAGGCTACTACAGAAGTCCTCTGATAAGCCATACAGACTAGAAAATTGCTGATTTAGGATATAAGTGGTTAAGATGGCAAATTTTATCATGTGTTTGAAAATGGTTTACACATGTGCCCCTTGTTTGTTTTGGGTTTTTTTTGTTTGGTTGGTTTGTTTTGTTGTTGTTTTGTTGTGGGTTTTTTTGTTTGGTTGGGTTTTTTTATAGTCCAGAGCATTACAAAAGCCTAAATATAGCTCTCTGTTTTAAGCACCAAGATCATAATGGGTTTTTACATTCTTACTCTGCTCTGCATTCAGGTTGTCCTGGAAGAACTCCATGGACTTCAAGTGTCAAGGCAATACTGCAATTACATAAAAATAGAATTCCTTTCCTTCAGCAAAAAGATTAGGTAAAGTAGCAAAACCAATGGTCCAAGGCCAGCTGTGGCATAAACAGCCCTGATTTTACTTCCTGAGCCAAAATCTTAAATGGTGCCAATGAACCTGCTGCATTCTAACAAACCCTTTTTTTGTCTCCTTTGTGTCAATAGCTTAGACAAAAGGATTGGAGACGTAGCAGTAAAAAGAACTAAACATCTTATAAAATATATAGAAATATATATAGAAATATATAAATATCTTATTTGTGGCACAAGTATTTTACTTTGTCTTCCCTTGCTAATTGCTTTTCCTGCTTCATGCCCATTTCTGCGCTACTGATGTTGGGGCTGAACATGGACAAAGACTGACTACACTTACATCAAGATCCATATATAAAAGGGTATTTGAATCAATCACCTCTTTGCCTATGGATTTCAGAAGTTTAGTTCTCCAGCTGAGGCAGAGGTGAACTTCTTCAAAGCATAAAGGTAGCTGAAGCAGGTGAGTTCAATGAGTTGGGTGCAGCAGCTGGGAGCAGAGCACTGAGATAAATAGGCATGTGCTTATTCTTCTGATTAGACCAGAAAAGCTCTCTCAGTGTTGTCCTGTGCTCTAGAGACATACCTTGTAATCAAGGAATGAACGTCTAAGGCTTCAAACACTCACTTCTGTAATGAAGGATCTAACAGGTGGCATTGCTGTGCCTGCAACCAGGCTTCCTTGTTCTGTGACTTTCTAAGATCAGCAAGTATCTATCTGTATGATGCCTGAGGAGCAAATTCTCAGCTGTTGCAGGTTGGTGTTGTTCAGGACTGTGGAGCAGTCTCAGGTCATTTCCATTCTGCAGGCAATGTCTAAGAACTGCCCTAAACCTCCCATTGTCTAATATCACTGCACTGGAGTGTGCCAAGTGGTGAAGCAACACAGAGGGTATCTGGAAAGACGGGAGAAACTCAATTTGGCAGATGCTGGAGCACAGCAGTTTATTTTGGATGTATGTGTTTGCTAAATAACCGTGATTTAACTGCAGTGGAGTATCTTCAGCTTCAGTAATATTTTGTTACTATTGTTAAAGACCAAAATGGACAGCAGTCATAGGACCATGGTGGTGCTGCTAGCTAAGATTCACTATTCATTAACCATTCAGCACTGTGTGATTTTAGGAGGGCTGTTTTTGCAGTTTTTCCTAATTTTTCCTAATTCTTCTAGTGCTCAAACACACCTATTTTAATTGCCAAGAAGTTAAACTGCAGAAAGGTCATGTTATCTGGTTTGTGCATAGTCTGCCTCTTTGATTAGTGTGTAATCAAAGAAAATATAATTACAGCTCTGCAAATTTGAGGCTGAATCCTGCAGTCTAGCCTGTTCATCCACTGCCCCCATAAATGGGTGAGTCCTTGGGTTTTGTTGGTTAACTAGTGCCATCCTGTATTAGCAGAGAGGAAATCTATGCTGAGATTTAGAGCAGCTGGTTTATTAAATCCAGTAGACCAATTGTAACCTTGGTATCAGGCAGGAATGATTCTTCTGAAATGACTGGAGCTGTACCAGTCTTACATTTCAGGACTGAGATCAGAACCAGATCCACTCCACTGAAAAATAAAGCAAGTCTGCTTGTAATGAGGAAGAATTATCCAAATCTTAAATCTCTCTGTGTCCAAGCTGAATTTGTACACTATAAATATGTTACATGGACTCTGTGGGGTGCTCTACTAAATAAGCTCCACAGTGTTTACTAATAAACTTCTTTTTATTCTTCATGCAGCCTTTCCTCTAAGGCTGATAGATGTTTCTGCACTAGCATTTTGATCCAATCCTATTAAAACCATTTTAGGTTCTAGGAAGACTTCTGATCTTTTTTGCCTTCCAAAACTATTATAAATATTCACAAATTCAAGGTCATGCTATCTGTAACAACATGCCTTTAAATCCAAATATTTGAGTGGGATTTATGGGATGAAGGGGTTAAGTTTACAGCAGGGTTTCCCAAACTGGGGTGTGAAGGTGCTAGGAGGGAGAGGTGAAAAAGCAAATGATTAATTCTGCTTCCAACATGAGTACAATTTTGCATGCGGGAGGGGAGAGGATGAATACAAGAGTTCACTGGGGAGGGAGGCACAGGGCAGAGGCACAATTTGCAAAGTGCTGGTTTACAGAACTTTAAAGGGTAAATGCAGTTATTTGTAGGCTGTAGATTAAGGTGTATTGTTTGGCACGAGCTAGCTCCTGGCTATACCTGACTTCATGACGTTTGCAGCATTCTCCTTAAAGCTATCAGTTGAGTGGGGAGAGGCAAAGGAATGAGGACATCTCCATTCTGGTGCTACCTCTATCCCTATGCCCTATGTGAAAATGCTGTGCACTTCTTGATTACCAAATGACTTAAGTTAATATAAGGGCACTCAATGTTCTGATGTTAAATACCAAGGGACCAATACCTGAAAGGTCTAAGACTGAAGCATCAGACTACACAATTTCCTATTTACTATAGATGTTATGTTTAGTAACTAATCATCCAACCTAATAATCTAAAATAGTATTTGACAAAAAGGTCAAGTGTTTAATATTAGGGCTAGGAGAGTCATAAAAGTCTATAAGGGGAATGCTCCGTGGAACAGCCAGCCAGCTGCAGCTCCTGACTCTGTCATTGTATCTCTCAGTTCCTCCTTTCATTCTATAAAAATGTCACAGTCTCTTAAGCTCAAACGATTCCATACGTTTCCTGCTTCTGGAGGATGTTACTCTACAGAAAGCTCAGTTCCCAGTTGCCAGACCGAACAACTCTGTCACTGGAAGTTTTCTCTCTTTAAGTCATCTAGAGCTTTTCAAAAAGTGTCATGGTTTATGGAGCAAACAAAAGTTCTCGGGATGTTGTGGAAGACTCCTTATTTTATGGAAACCTCATTAAAATGCAAGGGAAGAGATTTTTTAAATTAAATAATTGCTTTATAAAACTTAGCAGACTTTATGTTCCAGATTTGTTAGCCAAATGGACCTCAGCCAGAGGGGTGAGAGGGAGTGAACCAAACTGAGAGCTGGTGTAAATGGGCCCAACTTTCACATTCTTTTTGAATTTGACAAACGTGCAGGGGCTAGAAGTAGCCACTGTGTGCTGCTGATCTGTAGAGCAAACTGGACAGCTTCAGACATGTTTCAGAACTTCATTTTCTCTGTAAAACATAAAAACAAAACACCGAAACAGCAACTGAGACTAAATGCTGTACTCAGATCCAGACTGCAGGATCCACATATCCGATTTTGTTGTTAATACTGTCCTCCCTTAGTTCCTGTCTCTCCGATAGTTTTCCCGCACTCTGTTCTTCGTGACTCCCTTCACGAATGTTGGAAGTTTATGGGTTTTTTTATCATGTTCTTATTTGCCTGCAGGGATCTCAGTTATTTTACTTCTGCCCATGGGATGCCACTTCAGTTGTAGCTGTTTGAATTAACATGCCTCTTTGCTGCATCTTCTGGCTGAGGAAACTGCAAGAAGTGCTCTCATGGCCAGCAGAACAAAACGGTGATCCACTCTGTTACTCATTTCTGTGGCATTTTTGTAAACCCACATGGTTTAATAGCAGGTTTGTTTTATTTTTGTTTTGGTTATTTTTTTGTTTGGGTTTTTTTGTTTGGATCAGCAACTATATACTAAGGGGGGGGGGGTAAGAAAAAAAATGGGACACACCTTTTAATTCTCATGAAAGCATTATCATGGGAAGCCTTCTTACAGCAACAGAGTGAGAACAAGTTAAATATTTAGTTTCAAAGGGATTATCCCTACCCAGCAGGGAACAGCTGGCATAAAGCGTTGATCCACCTCCCATTGCAAACAAGAGCCAAACTCCTGTTGATTTCATTGGTACATAATCAAGCTCTTAATAAGTCCATGGACAGCTTTGCACAACTTCTGTCCTTGTCTGCTTCCCTTACATATAGGCCTGATCCCCTCTGGCCCTGGAGAACCCAAGCTGAGTGTAGCTGTAGTGAAACTGAAAGCATTTTAAGATATAAAGGACTATAATAGTATATCAGCTTTTCCCCAATGTGTTCAGCTGGGGAGTACATCTCAGGTGGCCCCGCTAACTTCAGTCTAGCCCCTCTGCCTGGATAGCCAAACGACGACCAGGAAGACGTAGCCAGGATCTTGACTCGCTAAAATGAGCCAGTTCCTTTCTTATTTTTTACTGGGTTAGTAGGGTTCCTCTCTAGGTTGTGTTTTATTCCTGTGTTCAGCCACTTGAAAAGGAGCATTTCAGGTTTTGTGTACAGTTATATTGCAGTTACTGAGACCAGTTACTGAGATGTGTTGAAAGACATCACTCCCAGATCTAACAGCAGCCACAGACTTCTTACTCCATTTCCAGAGCATTGACATCAAGGCATAGATGTATGTAGAACTGTTTAGAGAACCTACATTCATTACAAAAAAAAAAAATACATTTTTTAGGATCCTAATCTCTGACGTTGATAGGCTTCCTGTCACCCCCATCCAATCCTTTCATGGTTATATTGTTTGAATGTGTTTCTGCTAAGTGGCAGAGCAGTCTCAAACTATTAGTGCCTAGGAACTGGGAAAAAAATAATAAGTAATTGGGTTATTAAGAGCCTTATTGTATGTGACAATGAAAAAACTGGACTTGTACTGTCATATGTCATTTAAAAGTTAGTACTATGAATAAGATGTTTTCATATCCTTTCTAATACTTTGAGATAGATCAAAATTTATCATACCTCTCTTCATTTTACATAGTTAATAATGAATGATCAGTGAAACATTTTGAAATAGGAAAAGCTAGATGATTCATATAACCTCTGCTGTGAAAGGTTTTCAAAGTTTAAAACATACAAAGAGAACTAAAAGTAGCTGTATCTATCGCATGATATATAAAAGCCAAAAAATTATGTAGAAGAACAAAGAAGTTTTAATTGAATAACACAGTTTGTGGGATCATCATACAGATTTGAATTTTGATCCTCAGATTGAGTTTCATTGTTCAACATTTGCATGACTTCTCAAACAATGAGACTGTGCACCTTTTTTTGACTTCATGACCATCAGGACTTTCAGGGACGAAAGTCATCCTTTGAAGATAGTGGTGTGACTGTGCAAGTGTTGTACAAACCACAGTTTTTTAACTGCTGGGGAAGGTGCTGTGTAAAAAGCTGTATTTCTTGTTCTTCTTTATAAAACTGGTAGAAGATCTAAGATGTGAAAAAGAGTCCAAAGTCTTGCTTAACTGTTTATAGATAACAAGGTATCCAGAAACTTTGCCATAGCATTCCTGTTATGCACACACCTCTGATAAGTCTGCACTAAGAATAAAGGGCCGAATTCTCTACTGGAATAAAAATCCCAATTTCTTTGGTGTCTTCCACTGTTGCAGCAGAGACCCTGGTTGCTAGTATAGAGTTCATATACAGAGATGTGTCTTCACCCTTCCAAATTGTACAGTCAGTGTTTGGAGACTTCTTTTATCTTTGTGCCAGTGCACAGAAAGAAGTAGAGTACAAAATATACATGATTTCACCATAAAGCTTCAATTTTTGGAACCTGTGGGTGGGGAGTTAAGTGTCCCATTCAGGTAGTCTCTAATAATAATTGTCATTCCTATTGCATTGTTTTCACAAGTGTGTAAGGATGCTGTCTCTGAAAGACTGGACATGCTGGACCACTGTTCTGGACCAGTATTGTAGTCCCTGTGCTTTTGTATTATTAGAACCACTTCTCTTGAACTCTATAGCTAGCTAAACATTTGAGATAGTCTAGGTTATACTAATTATGATGAGAAAGTGTTGTGAGAGTCATAAACCACTTTTATGTAACTCTATATGTTTACAAAAAAAAAGGCCACAGGACAAGTCAAACAACTATAAAGATAATTTTATTGAGTTGCCTATGAGGCCTTTCAGCCCTTGGCCTCTTGTAGGGATGCACTGTCTGCATTACATGCCACCTCTCTTCATTTCTGCAGTGCTTCTGTGGCTTCCCACCCAGTCTGGTGGTGTCTCAGTGCAATATTCGGGAGATATGCTTCTCTCATATTTCATGTTTCTGATCAAATTGGCTTTGCCTTTGCTGTGTGCAATCACACGTGCCTGCACTTTGCTTTGAAGACTGAATATGCTCACCAAGGAGTTGAGTTTCTCCTTCCCAGCTAGCTCAACTGAAGGGCAGTGACTACAGCCACCAGCTCTGACAACATTTTATCTATACAGTTCTATGTCTGGTTTATATCAAAATTATTCCCATAACTCCCTGCCATCATAAAAAAGCAAGCCTGAAAAGAAGAAGAATAAACATGGAGTGTTTTAGAATTGTATACTAGGAATAATTAAGTTTTTAGTAAGAGGCTTCTGTCATTTCTCTATTTTCACTCACTGTGAGGAGGACAGCATGTTCTCATCTCTGTGGAGTCACATAAATTACTTGATTAAAGTGCATGTTACAGAGCTGAGTCTGGGCATTTGGAACTTCTTTGCTGCTTTCTCAAGGTATTTGTATGATAGATGAGGGGAAAAAAAAGTCCTGTACTTAGTTCATCTTGTTATGTTGTAGATATATTTTCCACACATTTGCAAATAAAGAACAAGAGTTCTTCAGCTATTTAAAGCCTTTGAAAGAAGAAAGGCAGTTTAGATTACCAGCAGCCTACAATGTGCATGGCACAAAAATGTCAGTTTTAATGGCAAAGTTCAGGATAAAACTGTGTCAGCTAATTTAATCATTTACCATGAAATACCAGTTATCTTAATCTTACATGCAGTCCTTAAGTCTGCTGCATATTTTTGTGTAATTGAATCCTGACCCTAGAAGGAAGGAAGCAGGGAATTTGCTTTTTAGTGAATAGTTAGGCTCTAAATGTTCCTGTTTATAAATTGTATTTGCAGCATTGTCAGATATTTTAATAGTGAGCACCTAATATTTCTGATGAGTCTATTTTTTCTCTGTTTCATATTTGTTTCCCATGCTACAGAAATCATACTAGTATTCAGTTTCTATAAAACTTAACCGAGTTCTCTGGAAAAAGTGCAAATGTTGTTCCCAGAATTTAAGGCAAATAAAGTAGTATCTAACCCAGATGACACATTTTATTCATGTGGTTTGCTTTCCATCTAGATACCTGATGTATTACTTCATCAGCAAATTCAACAAGGCCAAGATGTCTTCATTTTCCTTCAGAGCAAGAGCTGTAAGAGCAGTGTGAGGGAAGTGTTGGTCTTCTGTGGCCAGCCGGCGAGAACCCATCAACAGCTGTGATGAGCAGACCAGACACGGGGAACAGGAGGCAGCTGAAGCCAGAGAGGACCCACGCCTGGAGCTGTGTCTGTGTGATTGGAGCAGAGAGAGGCCAGGACCCAAGGAAATCCCAGCAGCAAGGGAAAAAAACAGATTGACTCTCAGTGACTCATTTAGCTCCTGGATTGGACAGATCTCTCCCCTGCTGGCAATTTGGCTGAGCATCAATGGACAGATACCAGGATGAATAGCTTAAAATAATTAGGGGTTGGGAATTTGCAAAACTGCTAGCCATCCAATTCTTTACTGTGCAATGCAAAGCATAAAAAAGAAATTACATTTAGGTTATTAAATATTAAGTCAGTGGATTTACCTCCATTTGGTGCAGAACAGGAAACTGGCTAAAATTCAACATTTATATCATTGTGTTGATGGTCTGTTTATCACTGAACAAGTAAGTGCCTTTTGGCAGGTCAAGCTCTTTGACACATGGGGCAAATGTGTGCTTCATTTCTCTCAAACAGAAGAATTAATATAATAATAGTTAACACAGATGAGAATAGAATTAAAATCAAGTAAAGTCAGGAGTTCAGTTTAATGCCAGGTGTTTCACATTCTAGATGCTCTGGGGCCAGATTTTTTTCCTGTTGAAGGTAGTGAGGATTTTGCCATTGGCACTTTTGGGAGCTAAAGTGGGCCTTGGATGCAGAGAAACAGGATTCCCTGTACTTTCTTTTTAATGCACAAACCCAGAAGCAACAGGCTCATTTAGTATCAGTAAAGGTCAGTTAAAATTATAGAGACATCCTTTGGAGCAAATCCTCTGCCTTGTATTTGCATATTTATGAATTAGAGATTACGACAGGCTATTTCATTTATTAGAGCAGCACCACTATAGTTAATAGTCTGTCAGTATTTCCATTATAAACCCCATTTTTCAATGTTTTAATTTCTCAGCCATTTAAAATCACATCAGGAAACAAGTTGGTCTTATGTTGCCGGCCAGGTGCAATTTTTTTGTTTTGGCTTATTTTCCATAATGAAATACTGTTCATCATATATGCAGATGAGTCACAGCATTTCTGTTGGGGGGAAATAACGAAGTGTGTAAATTCTTTGTGGCTTTGTTTTTCTTTAGGAAAGAAGGGAAAAGAGGGATTTGACCAATCACATCCACTGGGGCTTCATATTTGAAGAACAGTTTTTTAAGCAACTACTCACAGAGCAAACACTGGTTCCTAATGTGAAATCAAGTTGCTGTTTGCTTGCCACTGGTGACCAAGGTAAATAGGTGAGGATGGTTCCCCTATCCCTCAGAAATTTCTTGTCTGCCAGAGTGATAGGTGAAGCACACTAGGCAAGAAAGCAGTGAATATTAAAAAAGAGCCTTTAGAAGTAACAGGAGCCCGGGTTACAAATTTTAAAATCTGACCTCTTTTTAAGTGTCTTCCAGATGCAGAGCAGTGCAGTACTGTACTGACTTTATTGCTGATAGTGGAGGTAGAGAAAAGGGCTTGGTGATGCTTTGAGGGCAGTTGTGAAGCTACCTTGCACTATGTCCATGAACTGAGCAGTATTGTTTATTTCAGCAGTCTCACATCATGCTCCTTCCAAACAGCCACTTTGCTTTCATACACGTTAGTTCACTAAAAATAACTGCCTGGCAAGGGCAAATGTTTAGACTAAAATGACAATTTTTAACTTTCTAGGGTAGCAAAAAGTTACTCTTCAGAGTAACTGAAAGAAGCTGGTCTTGCTCTACAACCTCTTATCCTTTGAAAAGAGAAACAGTGCAAATAGACAGTCCTGGTAAGTGGTTTGTTTTCAAGGTCCTGAAAAATCATTTGCTGCCACAGTAACTGGAATTAAAAATCAAATTCATTAAAAGAAAAAAAACGAGGCTATGTGCAAAAGGTGTGTTGCTCTTTACTCTTGCCTCACAAACACATAGTTGGAGGTGAGAACACAGTCCATATTTTCCACCTTTTCCATCATAAAGATCTTTGTTCACAACTGAGGACTCCAGATAAACTGTCAATGGCAGGCCAGAAACACTACTGAAACATCATATACAATCTACTTGGTGCATAACAGCTAATAAAACTGCACCCTAGACGAGACACAGGGCTCAGCTGCTGTGCCACCTTCTGTGAATTTTGACTGAATTAAGAATACAGCAAATTTAGAAGTTACATTACACACATTTTTTTAAGTACATGTGAGACAAGGTTGCATAGACAGAAATCTATGATCTTAAAGCTCCCAAATCCAAATGGTGAGACAGACTTTGCATCTGACCTCTCATCAACCTCAGGAGAACCAACAGCCCAGACTGAGACACTCCACTCAAGCTTGTGGAAAATCCATTCCAAATCCAAGTGGCGAGGGTTCACCATTGGTGCTTTCTTAAAGCAACAGTTATTTGGGATATTTTTGTAGGTAATTGGTAACTTAAAGTGCATTTTTCAGATTCCTTCCAGAGTTGCCATTGAAAAGAACAATCTTCCTTCCCCAGGCACATCACAGTGCTTTTTCAGCTGAAAATTATCTCTGGTCATGATAGGTGATCATAACTGAAAAGCAGGCGGACTAGAGATATTCTGTGTTGAATACAAAATTACTTTAACAGTTTTAAAAACAGGTGTAACCCAAAGTAACAGTGGGGAAGGGAGGGTCTGCCAAACGGGTTTAAAATGTCATACATTTTAAAATGAAGTATGATGTGCTATCTGCTGGAAACTCAGTCCAGGTTCAGTAAGCTATCTGTACAGTATTGCTCATTTCATATATGGTATATTTTGTCTTTAATTTACAATGACATAAAATCTTGTATAACTGATTGGAGTGCATCTTTGAGTATTAAAAATACTAATTATTATGTAATTAGTCAACAGGATGTGTGTAATTGTGTAATACCAGCATTCCTGGGTGTGGTTAAGTACGTAGGTAGAATGCCAACACTCATCTAGATGTAGTGTTATGAAATTACACAACAACATACACCCTGGGTGGATACTCTAATTGTATTTTACATTTAAACAATGGCTACATTAACAAAATAGAACTTATTATTTTTGAAAATATCTTCCCACAGGCATGGATCATAGTAGAGGATAGTAATAATATTGCTCAAATGAACTATCTTCCATCTCCTAAGGGACCCAGGCTTCTTCATAAACGTACAAATAGGAGACAGAAACCAGGCACAAAGAGGCCTTCATTCACTCGTGGCATGAAATCACCCCAAAATGGACATGTGACAGTTGCTGAGTCGTTAATTGCACTGGAATAATTGAAGGCAGAAAAAGAACAGGAAGAACTTTCTATCTCATGAAGAATCACATGGGATTAACCAGAAATGTGATTAGAAATGTTATATTTTTATGACTTGACAGACATCAGGACAACCCATAAACCATGGTGGGAACAGAATCACATAGTGAATCAGATTCTTCTTTGAACTTTCCTAGGTAAGATTTAGGTTACAGCCATCAAATGTCTTGAGCATTTTAGTTAATTCTGGTCTCTGTTAAGATACTGCCAATATGGTTCAAAAGTCTTCTGCACTCCCAGCCAGAAGTTCCCTGCCTGGTCATCACTCATTCTTCCAGGGGTACATCAGCAGTGACTGACAGGCATGCACTTTACTGGGGCCAGCATTAAAGAGATGGTAAGATCTGCAGTGCAAACGGAAGACGTGGATGGTTCTTGTACATGGATCACCAGTATTTTCTCTCTTTTTATATGGATCAAAAGTGAGAAATCCAGGAGAAGAAGGGAAAGGTGAAAATTCCAACACAAAAAACAAAACCAAAAAAAACACCCAGAAAACCCTAAGCTGTGACTCATCATAAATGTAAAATGTCAGAGCCTAAAGCTGGGGTTTTTTTCATCTGCCTGGATGCAGAAGGGTGAGGTGCCCTCCGAGAATGATTTTATCTTTTACTTTTGAGTCTGAAGATCTTGGATGTGGTTTGGCAAGTTCATAAAAATATTTGTGATAAAGTTGAGCTGCCGTCTGGAAATGTTACATACAGAGATGTAAGAAAGCTTAAGGAGAAAACTGCAGATGCTGGAAGAATCAGCAGTGCACGTGAGTAAGGTTAAAAATTGCAGACAATTAGCTACTAGATGACTCCCACTAAATAAATCACCAAAGACTTGACTGCTGCTTCCAGGTTTCTGCAACAATATTAGCTCATTGGAACAGTCAAAAAGATGTTAATTTGGCCACAGTTTTAGAAATGTGCTGTTCTTATTTGAATTAATAAGTCAACCAACAACACCAATGTAAACTCTCTTGCCAAGGCTGTAAAGCTTTTAGGGAAGATACTGTATTTATTGCTCGGGATCAAGGACCCCATGATATGGAAAATAAACCTCTTTGGGTTAAATGTAAGCTACGTGGGAAAGAAAAACAACCTGAGCTTCTCATGGAATCTCACATCTCATTTCAGGATTCAATAAAGCACTTTGGATGTCCAGTTTAATAGAGTAGCACAATTTCTTTTTCCTGTATGCCTCCACAGATCAGGTCTAGCACTGATCTCCTTTAGAGTTTAATCCAAGACCCAGAGTAAAAGAAAAATATTCCAATTGCTTCCAGCAGGCATCCAGTCAGTCTTGTACCGTGGTTTTACTTAAACGTAAATTCAGTGCTAAGTTTCTCCCAAGAAAAAGAGGAGTAAGACATGAGTCTGTAAGCTCAGCTTTCCACCCTCCTGTTGCTTGCTGCTACTAGAACCAATCCTTTGGCTTGTTAAAAACTTCTTAATTTGTCTGGCCTTTCTGCAGGGTTGACTGGTATAAAAAATGCTCACCTTGACCTTCTTTATTGCTACATCTGGGCAGCTCACCACAGTTGTACTCTTTTTTACTGCTTGAGATTTACTTGTGTCCCTGGTGTGTTGTGATAAGCCTCTGAATGTCACTGCTGTGAAGGTTTCGTTCTTCTCAAAGACTCTCCGGAGGTTCAGTGAAGGCAAGTAGGGTTTGCTTTGTTTGAGAAATAGATTGTATGTGTCACTATTTTAAAGGGAAATATGGAAAGTGTTGGTTGAATTTGACAGGAAATTGGAATGTTTGACTTGTCACAAGGCCAGTTTGTATTATGTGGACTTCTAACATTGCTCATAGTAGGTGGACCTCACCCCATGGTGATGGCTGGGTCAAGGCCTAGTTATCATGTGTGTGCTGTTTAACCTGTCTTTAGAATTAGTCCAAAGTGGTGCATAAGGCTCACGTAGTAGTATAAAATAAGAAACGTCATCTGGAAAACACTACAGAGAAATGCTGAAGTTTTGCACATCGAAAAGGCTAATTAGAAATCCTTTTCTTTTATAACAAATAAACCAAGTATATTGACATTAATTATATAAAATACACAAGGTTTGGAGTAATCTGCTGAAGATTACAGATGTATACCAAATACTATGCAAATGAGTACGTGCAACTATTCTTCAGGTAACACATTTATTTATAAAAATAAACTGTGTGTTCAGGTTTCTTTTTTAGTGGGTAGAACATCATGAAAGGTTTCTGTCTCTCTCTTGCTCTTACCCAACATAGTGAAATAGTTATAGATGTAGTTATATCTGTTCATTACAGCCTAACATCCATTCTAGGAGCTTTGGAGCAGATTATTCCCATACCTGAGTTAGTTGCAGTAGATCTGTTTGCTTTAGTAGTAGTAGTAGTTCTGCAGTTTAGTAGTAGTTCTGTCAGCTTAGATCACTGTAACTAGGAGCAGAATCTGTTGGTAAAATTCCTGTAATCATTGTAGATTATCACCTGGCTGGGGCTGTGTTGGCACTGGTAAGCTTCCTGGAGCCTGCTTCACAATCTCCAAACCATCCTACAAACGCTAGGGCTTAGCACTTTTGCTCTTAGAAACACCCATCTACAAGGGCAAATGTTGGTAGTTAATTGTTGATCTCTCCCATCACCAGTAGAGGATGTTGAAGTTGCCACTGCTGGTTCAACTCCTTGAATTCTCCCAGTTTTCCTAACAATTGTCTTAACATTTCACAGGTGTGTCCACAGCTACTGTGTCTGCACAAATTCCAAAAAGCTCATGATACAGTGTCTGTTTTCACCTCTCAGATTGAAGCCCATTAAAGGATTTGAGGAAAACTATTCAGTGCTGTGGGCAATGAGGAGCAAAGAGGATCCATTTAGATGAGTTGCAGGTATTATTTCAGACCTCTAAAAAGTAGGAAAAATATTTGTACTCTATCATTATAACAGCAATCTCTATATATTTTCAAGAATTGTCAAGAACTTGTCTCCAGTCTAGCTTGAAGATTTTGGAAACCCACCACATGCTACACGTGGGTCTGAACAAGATTACCTAAGCCACAGATGATTGGGAGGGTGCATAACACTGGTCAAACTTCAGCCTTTGACCTGTTCTTACACTTCCAGTTCTGACCTGTGCTTACACTTCCAATTCTCACACTTCTGTTCTTACACCTGACTGTTCTTACACTTCCAGTTCTGAATATGCACTACTGGTAATTATCAGACATAAAATATTGGGATAATTGGATTTTTGTTCAACCCACTGTGCTTGGTCTTAGATTTTTTATGGTTCCATCATTTTCAGTGAGTCTAAAAAGGAGACAGCTTCTGTCCTAATTGCACTGTCATATGGAAAAGCAGCAATTTTTACCAACTCTGGTCACCCAAGGGCACCCTTTTAGAAAGAGTCACCTCTGACACATGGATCCATGTTGGTTGACATGATAGAAGCAGCACTTGTAAAAAAAATGGTTTGGAGTTGCATAGCTTTTAGTGGCAACTAAATGACGAAAAGAGTTGCAGGAGTGGGAGCAACAGGAGACTATCAGTTGGGAAGTTGGAGTGAAAGCTTTTATATATAATTTCAGCTGTTTGAGAGGCAGATGGTTCTGTTAGTAACTATTCCTTATGTAGAGATCAAACTTCTAAAGACCTTCTTGCATCTGCTTTGGATAAAATATATAAAAAAACTAAACCCCTGAGCTTTCACCTTCAGTGTGCAGTCAGGAAATTAGAAGGAAAAGGAGCTGTTATGCCTGTGAAATTAAATTGGACTCAAAGATAATTTAGGATCATAATAAAGGTGAGAAGGTTCAGAATCTTTCTGAACTATTGTGATACCTGTACAAAGGGTATTGACCTGCTGTCTAACTTTTTTGTTCTTGCTTGAAACCTAAAATTTGGTTTCAAATAAAAATCAATCTCTACCAGTTCATATAATACAAGTACTTTATTGCATTCTGACTGAAGCAGTGTTGCTCAGAGATGAGGGGCCAAGTCCTGGTCTTGTGGCATGGAGAGTTTCCAGACCACAGGCAATTCTGACTTTAGGGGAAGGTGAGGGAGGTAGACAAAAAGAAACTAAGTCACAAATGAAAACTTTGTGTTCCTTTCTAGCACTACTGGTTTTCTGATGAAATTTTCAAAATTTCAGATAAGTGGCACATTTTCAGCCAACTCAAGGAAATCAAAATAGGAAAGCTCAGCTTTGCAAGGAGAAACCAAGGCACCAGGTAAGACAACAACCAGGAGGGAGAAGAGATGCAGGGACAAGGGGAGGGAGGAAGGCAAGCAGGCTCCTGGAGATGGTCTGACTGGCAGCAGGGCCAACAGGGAAGAGAGACTGCTAGTGGATGAAAAGACTGGTTAGGATGTATCTGGAGGCCATAAAATGGGTGTTGAGGGGTGAGGAGCTGGAATCTCCTGTCTGGAAAGGATATGGCAGAGGAAGAGATCATTAAAGCTGCCGGGTTGGCATTGTGGGGGGGCACAAGGAAGAACAGGGCCCCTTTGGCACCCACTCCACCCCAGGTGAGGTGACCTGGCTCCAGATCCAGTAATGAGGGGGGTTCATTGCCTCTGGGTTCATGACACTATTAAAAGAAAAAAATAAAATAAAATAAGACAAGCCTACATTTTTTTACTGTTTGACTGAGGAAACAAAAGCTTAACAGTGAAGAGTCCTCCTCCCTCCGTCCAGAAACTAGCTAAGCTCCAGACAGAGGTTTCACTTGGGGCTTTTCTGGTAGCCACCTCTGCCGCGGGGGTGACATCCCTGTCTCTGCTTGAGCCTGGGCAGGACAGTGAGAGTGACAAGCACCTCTGAGTGAGGAGGGGGATACAAGATGGAGAGGTTTGTGCCAGTTAATTAGCAGCACTTTGGTGGTTTCTGCAGCCCACAGTAACCTTCACAAGACTGGCAGTGAAGGAGAGGTATCTGGGTATCTGTGGTGGAGGCTGAAAGTCTATTTATTTGAGTTCTTCTTTCTTTGAGCATTGAGTGCTTTGCTCCTCCAGCTCCCTTTAGAGACTGCACCATCAGCTATCCGGGCTGGGCAGCCCAGTGTCAAAAGGAAAGGAGCCTTTTGCCCATCACTGTCATATAACTCAGGCCCAAATCTGTAAAATGTGAGAAAATGAGAGATTCGATTATCCATATGGATCACTCTGGATTTATTCCAGATTGCTTCATTAATAGCAATCAAAGACATCACTTTAATGGATTTTTTATCCTCAAAATTATGGTCATGGGGAATTTGTTCTGGCTATTGATTTTGAAAAGGCTTTTGTTTCTCTTCAATAGCCTTAACTTATTTCAGATTTAGGTAACAGTAGGATTTGGTCTTAAATATGTTAGATAGGTCAATCTCCTTTATTCAAATCCACAGTTATGTTAAAACTAATGAGCGTAGTTTGAAGATGATTTATATACTGAGGCTTAGACATGAGAGTCCTTTTTCTCTTATACTTTTGCTGTTACAGAGGAGCCTTTGTTTTGGGAGAAATCAGTGTTTTTAAGGGAAAAGTCAGTGATGTTTTCTTTTCTGCCCTTAGTTGGAGAATATGTTATTTTTTTAATGAAGATTTTTAGATATTATGCTGGAAGTCACTGAATGTTCATGTTTCTTCTTTGTTAATTGGGGTAAAACTCTTAAAGCCATTAGGCGATTTAAATGTAGCTCTATTTGAGCAATATCCTTTATTGGATCCCCCATTATCCTTTAAACATCTTGGTGTGCAAGGGGATAAAATTAGAATGAATTTGTTTGCTTTAAATTGCCAGCCTCTGCTTGATAAAACTATTAGCTATTTAGCTAATTGGGCTGCTCTTCCATTATCATTAATTGGCAGAATTGATACAATTAAAATGGGGGGTTTATCTAAAGTGGTTTTGTTTTTTTCTGAGGTATTCCTCTCAAGTTCACTAACATGTTCAGGGAGTCTTACATTCTGCAATTAGTTTTTCAGGGTTAGAGGTAAATTTAAGATTAATTTTGAAACTCTGAAGCTTCTCACAGAGTCAGCTGGACTGGCTCTTGCTAATTTTATTGTTGTTTTTGGCTGCCCTGGTAAGACATGTTTCGTGATTTAGACAATCCCCAGCATTATGTGGCTGTGGAGAGCGTGGGGCAACGCAGCTACAGGCTGAGCAAAATCAGGCCCTTGGAGCACCCCCCCACTTTGCAGAAAGTCACAGCAAGGCTTGATCCCCGCACTGTGTCCTGCAAGGTGCTAAACACCCATTATTTCCTGACCCACCAAAGCATTTTAACACAGCCATAATTTTTAAGCACACATACAAGCCCAGTGACGCCAATTAGCTTACTCATACTAGTAAAGTTAAACAAAGGCTGCACTTGGTTGGGGCCACAGTAATCATCACCTTGTCAGTTTGAGACTCCCACACAAATCCATTGCAAAATAGTCCATGTTCTTCCACTTACACCTTGGCTGTGCTCTCAGCTGATGCTGCCCTCCATATGAGCAGGGGAGGACACTGGGCTTTGACAAGTTGCTCTGCCAATCCTCTTCCACTGTGTTCCAAGCATCAAGAAACTGCACCCTCTGCTCCTGCCATCTCTGGTGGACATGCCATCTCTTTTAGGCTGCTAGTACAAATGATGCTTCTCCCTCCTAATGCTATGATTCATGTCAGCCATTAGCCTCAAATAAATAAATGGGCTGAAAGAAAATTAAAATTAAATCACACTTCTATCAAGGGGAGGGCTTGTTGACAAGCAGGGCCTCTGTTGCCAGAATTAGTCAACTGGGTCTGCCTTTTGCACCAGAGGCTGAGAAAACCAGAGGATGATTAATTGGGCAGGACCAAAAGGATGTTGCCCCTCCCATACAGATGGCCAGTGTAGGCAGTTTCTAAATCACACCACGAGGGCAGTGGGTACATCATTGAATACCATGACTACCTCTGCTTCACCTTCATCACAGTTTTATATGTGCTGGAATATACCACATTAGTTCTTCACCACCCAAACATGCTCTTATACTGTGACATTCCTTATTTTGCAAGCCATGTAGAGCTGGGTCTATTGCCATTTAGAGCTGCTTAAAATAACTTCTTTTTAGAATATAAAATAATTTTATGCAAAAAAATTTTTAAAATGTTTTCTCTATAAAATACATGCAAATATAATTATATATAATTTTAACAAAAAAAGAAATCAGGTCCACTATTTAAGGCATGACCCAATATGTATGTGGCATGTTCAAGCAATGGAGCAACCTTGATGCAATACTGCCCTTCTTAATTTTAGTCACTGTAGTTCTAGACTATACCAAAGTCATTTCATGAAATACATCATGGTCCATGGGTTAATCCTGATTTAGCTGTGATGCTTTGCTTTTGAGTATTATCTAAATTGTTTTGCCCATCTCTTCTTCATTCATTTTCATGAATATCATTCTACGTGGATTTCACTCATATCTTTATTTGTTTTTAAATTATACGGCTCTTTAAGGAGATGGACCCATCAACTGATACCATACCTGGTGGAACAAAGAACAAGGCATTGTTTACTTTTGAATAAAGAGCAATGAAGATAGAGCACACAGTTTATAGGATATTAATGAACTATTTGAATCTCTGGCCTTAACTCAGACTCAATCCAGCTAAGCTTGGTAGCCAAAGGAGTTGAAATGTAATGGATAATAGTCCAAGATCCAACCATATTGTTGGTCTAGCTTGCACAGCTTGGCCCTTGCTGACAACCTCAGCCAAGCACCTTTGCACTGAAGGGCTGATGAAGTGCCTCAGCACAGTCATGTGCTGCCTCAGGGACAGAGCGTAGCATGGACTAGGGTTGACCTGCTGCTCTAGGTCTGGGGACACTCCTGGGGAGGAAGAGAGCACCTGAGTCTCTGGGGCTGACGTGTTTCATGAGCACTGAATTCACTGGAACAGAAGTCACCTAGGGCTGAGGGGCCTGTTGCAGCTCCCTCAGGAAGAATGAACACTCCCACCAGTACCATTAGAAACCCCACACTCCCACTGATTTCCCCATGACTTGGGGAAAGAGGAGGAGGGAGCAGAAACAAAACCCCTTAGAATAAGGACAACTACTTCACAGTACTAATCCTGTGCTGATTTATATTTTAGGTTAATTGCAGTAAATAAGGAGCATCACACTCATGTGAAAGAGATACGAATAAAACCTAGGGGGAGCAGAGGAGCTGCAACACAGGAGCCAGTCCTCCTTGGGCAACTTTTAAGGTGTATTAGGGGCAAAACCTTCTTAATGCAAACAATGCTGTTTATTTGCTTCCGTATCAGCTCTGAATTTGGCTTATTGTCACCAGTAAAAAAGAGTCCAGAATAAGGGTCATTTTGGGTTGAAACATTACTGTGGCATACAATGCCTTTTCCTCATTTGAAAGTAGAGATATAACTCTGTATGTCATTAACTAAGACAATAATAAATTAATACAATAGCCTAGTAATAGTGCTGTAAAGCTTTCGTGTATGAATTGGAATGTGAATACTGAGCTTTTCATTTCATGGTTGAAAAATACATGAGTTGACCCAAATATTAATTTCTGCATTTCAATCATTTACGTATTATGGGTCAATAATAATTTCTTGCACAAATGACTTTTCAAATGAGAAGCAGTATATTGTAATGGTGTATCATATTTACAAACATTTCATTGTTTTCTCAACTTAGTATTTAAAATATACTGGACCAGATATTATTTGCCAAATACAATACAAAACTGGGTCATGTAAAATTCAAATACTTTTTTTTTTTTTTTAATATTACCTGTAATTTATGGTATTCATAAACCATGGAGTGGCAGACCCAGGCCCCCAGTTTGGAAAAAACATGGTTTTCCAGCAGTAGTTTAGGAGACCTGACACCTCTTTCTACTCTTTCCTGACCTTAAAAATCTCACCCCTTTGAGTAGTGATCCCTCTGAAGATCCAGCACTGTCAGCAGGACTAGTGGTGGGGGTTTTGAGAAGTTTATTACATCCCAAGATTTCTTTACAGCATGCAGTGACATCCAACAAAATGCCTAGGGTGTCTTTTTTCAATTACTTCACAAAGCTAAAATAATATAAATAACCTTGCTTTTTACTTACTGGTATTGAACTTAGTCCATCATTTTGGGCTGTTCATTGTTTCATCATATCCCACCCCTTTATTAGCTAACATATCCCAACAGAAACCTTTTGTCTTGGAGTAAATAGTGTTCAAGTACTGAATT